AAATTGCGAACCCTCTCTGAGGGGCGTATAATTTCGCCCCCCAGCCTGAGAGATGAAACAGTTGGACAATCATTTTCTGCATGGTATGAGATATAGGTCTAATATCTGATATAAGTCTGTCTTGATTTGAAAAAAAATACATGTTTAGTGAACTAGGTTTATACCTTCTTGAAGGGAAAACGGGTTTGTCCGACGTTTGAGGTGTAAGCCCTATGCTTTCTGACATTTAGTCTACGTTATTCTGGATAGATCTGGAAACCAGTTGCAGATGTCTGTGTTTGCAAATCTTTGCTGCTACCTCGAGTCCTCTTCTAATTTTATTGCTACAAATGCACTCTTCTATATGCTGTGAGGGAAAACAACTAAGCTGAAGCTTTCAGGCTACAGTAGCTGGCTTCAATTTCAGCAATATTTGTGCTTCCAAGTTTTACTATTAAAAATGCAGTTCCAGCAACCACAACAGTTGTCCAAAGATTCCCATTCTCCCTTTATTTATTACAGTCTTTAACATTACAGTTCCCTATATGCCAGTTAGCCTCATATCATTCTGTTTCTTCAATGTATGATCTGGCCTTATCAAGATTAGTTTATAACTGTTCTTGATTATCTGCTTTATCTTGCCAGATATCTTTTACAAGTAAATTTTGACTATATTCTTCTTTATCACTTATGAAATATTTTTAGAAATAGATTTCACTTTCATATATCAAGGCAGCAAGATATATCAACATCGTGACTAGAGTTGTGATATTGGTTAAACTTGGAACTTCCTGCAATAATTTGTAAAGCTTAAGAATTGTGACATGTTTTTATAAATACCCGATGGTCTTCTGCATCCCTGATCAAGGATAATCCAGTATCTTGCATTATAATGTATGTTGGAGAAAATAGAAATGTAAAGGGAATATTAATAACAAACACCAACTCTTTCTGTTGGTTCTTGGTTATGATTCAAGTCAGTGATGAAGGACACATTTTGACAGCAAGAGAACTTCACCAAGTTTAACTTGGTTTGCTTATTTATTTAAGGTAAGGTTGTAAAACGTGGATGTTTAATTAGAGCATCAGCGTTGTAAGTCAAAAAGCAGGAAGAGTCAGAATAAGTGGTTGGAGGCAACATAAAAACAAAATTGAATGCATTGAAATTCAGGTAAATATATGTAGATAAAAGGATTATTTACTATTGTCCCTATCTTTCATATTCAAATATTATAATTTTATGGCTCCGATGTAAGAACTCTATTTAGACAGGCATTCACTATGCTAAGCCTGAACCACCGAAAAAGGAAATTTCAACAAGAAGTGCCTGACCAGTCAACTTAATATAGCAGAACCAATACAAGCCTTAAAAAGGATAACACTGCCCTGTATCAAAAACATCCCAGAAACACCAATAGACTATTACAACCACATTGCGTCAGCATAGCACACAAGCCAACTAAAGCTCTCCAGAACATCCTAAGTAAACCAAAAGAAATAGAAGAAAAAACTAGAAGAAAAAAACGAGAGCCATCCACAACATACAGTATAAAGATTGCAACAGCCCATGTAGGACAAACAGGCAGAAGACTAGCAGAATGCATCCATGAACATCAACTGGCAGTCAGAAGACATAATGACAACTCTTTAATCTCACAACATATAGATAGGCTTAATCATAGTTTCAACTGGGAAACTGTGACCATCCTACACCAAGCCAAGTTAAAAAATGCTGGAGAATTCCTGGAAGCCTGGCATTCTAACAAATAGGCCATCAATAGACATATTGGCATAAACAACATAGTGCAAAAAAGACAATCAACAAAGGAAAGAGGGAATAAAAAGACCCAAACAACTCTCCACCAGCAATCGACACCCAGATAAGTATAAATCAACACCAAGATTAACATCAGACCAAAAATCAAGAAGTTAATATCCTAATCAAGAGCTAGTACTTTTTCATAGCTACGAATGACCACTGCCTGAGGCAGTCATTAAAGGAGAAATACCTGCACCTAGTATCCAGTCATAAACATTTCCAGAATAATTTAAAGATCAATAAGAGATTGTGTTGATTCTTAGGCTTAAAATTAAAAACAAACATTAAAAATTAGCTATCTGGAACTTTTAACAGCTTTAATTCAGCTGAAATATCTTTCTCTTAAGTTTTCCTATGAATAGCTAGAATTTAAATAGCTGAAAAAGTGAGGAAGGCTAAATTTGCTGTGGCTCGACTTCCTCTATGTGACAGGATGATGCTGGGACTGCTAGATGAGCATCCAGAAGAGGCAAAGTCTTATGACTTTGCTGGCTTCTCAGGAGGACTGATTTTGAGTCCATTATGTGATCTACTGTTTTATGAAGGATTATGTTGTGCAACACTTCAGTTTTTTGCAATTAAGCTTTATTCTTTCCAAAGCTGCATATTAGAAATACTGGACTCTAGCTACAGTAAATTGTCAGGGTTCTGACGGATGTCCTAATTAAATCATGAGCCTCGAGCCAAGCTTCAAAAGAAATCCAGTTATTTATTAGGATCTTCATGTCGGCATGTTCCCAAGTGAAGCCAGCTCTGACCCCATGTAATTTATGGCCCCAATCATGATCCTGTTTCCCCCCATCCTCCCAGGGTGTGTCATCAATCACATTTGCCAATGGAGAAATTTTGGGGATTGTAGAGATCACTTCCCTCAGGCAGCTGTAAGTAACCCTGGGATACAGCCTTGAAAGAGATAAGTCTAGAATGTGCATCTGTCTTTTGCTGCTGTGGAATTTCGTTGGTTTCCCATCCCCCCCTTTCCTATGGCAACTTGAGAGCAGGCCAGGGATGCTTTGCGAGTTGACACAAATATTTTAGTTTTTAATTTCCTGGAGTTTGTTCCCTTTTTACAGTGTTTAGAGTTCAACACAAGTCATTGCCCTTCTAAAATATCAACCCAAGGGTTCATTCATTTTCAATTTCTGCTGATGTTGTCATGACATAATTTGGTTCCATCACAGTAACATCAGAAGTTATATAATTTCAAACTATAGGCCATGGATGTCAGATTCTTCCACACAATCCTTCCAATCTATAAGTTATAATAATAGGATTGTTCGATGGTAGTTAGTTCCCTCCAATGGAAGTCCAAATATATTGCTTTTGAAGGCACTTTACATAAAACTAAAAAGTCTTTAAAATATATTTTCAGTGGTTTCTAATGGTTGCAGAGATAATTTTCCTTTTCAAAGGAAAAAAAATCCAGTTGAAATCCCACTTTGGAATTTCTTATTCTTGCTTTCCAGTTGCTCATACGATTAATAACATTTCCATCTGGAAAAATAAATTCTTAGAGAAAGCCTATTTTTAGACTTTTATAGGAAAAGCTGAAGTAATAAATGCAGCCTTCAATTATTTGGCATCAAAAAATACAGCTTTAAAAAACTGTGCAATTTTTTTTAAAAATATGTATATAATGGGCCAAAATGCATTTTTAGGATCATTTCTCTGCAATCTTCTCATCTTGCTAATCTCCAGATGTGTTTAGGTATAACTTCCAAAATTCATAATAAGATGTTGGCTGAACATT